GGCTCCCGCAATAGGCTTTTGTGTCGTGGCTGCCTGCAAAAGGCTGACCTCCTGCCTTGAGCATCCAGGGTGGTTGGCTGCATCATTATTATTAATAATATTACATGTTTTTTTGAAATTATTTTTTTTTCCTTTCCAAATTCAAAGTCACAGGGCTTTTCTTGCTTGTTGCAAAGAGGTCAGCTGCCTTTGATTAGATCTTCATGCCACTTTTAACTTCCAACTTTCCCTCGCCCCTTAGAAGAGCACCGGGGGAAAACATGGCACGAAAGGTAGCTCGAGTCTTCCCTGCTGCTCTGTGATTTTAACAAACATTTCCAGCAGCAGCTCATGCAGAAGACACGCTCTCTTCTGCTTGATAATGAATTAAATCTTACACGAAATGCCACCAACGACAGTGTTTCTGTCTTTCCTATACACGCAGTAAACAGAATTTTTAAGCAAGCGGAGTCCCACATGTTCAGAATCTGCTAGGAATATTAAGAGCCACAAATCTTCTTATAAAACAGTTTCTCTCATCGTAAGATACCTTAAAGCAACACATTTCTGATGAGAGACTTAGGAAATAATTCTAAAGCAAATATCGAATGCTCATGTGAAAGTACTTTCTCATTTGTTTCGGTTTACTGCCAACATTTTGATTTTTATTGCAACACTGATGAGACAAATAAATGTACACGCAGACCTTTTGGTCCGCTTGATAAATTCAGAGCCACATTAATTCTGTTTTTGTTTTTTAAGCTAGAAATTCATGGTTTCTCTTGCATAAAATTCATGCTGGTATCTCTCTCTCTTTTTTTTTTTCCCCCCCTCCCAGCACCAAATGCTGACCCAAGGAGCAGGCAATCGCAAGTTCAAATGCACTGAGTGTGGCAAGGCCTTCAAATATAAACACCATCTGAAGGAACACCTGCGAATTCACAGTGGTGAGTAGCGGAGGTGCTGGTGTGCTCATTTGCATTTTGTTTAATTAGCTGAGTTTTAAAGACTGCTTAAAATTTACACAGTTCTGCTTCTGACTTCTTGGAGCTACTAAGGTATTTCATAAGTGATATCTGAGTCATCCTCATTTATCATGCTGCTAATACCACGGTCTCGGTGAAAGATTTGGAAATAGTAAAGCTTCCTGCAAATAATATGGATTGTTTGTTCGGCAGTTTGAGTTCAGAAGCATTCACTCATTTCTGTACAGTCGGACCCCGAAGAGTCCATTATATTTTCCATAACAAAAAGTCCCCCCACATGAAATACGACTCATTCTCAGATAATGCGTAAGCGCAAAGCGTCTACCATTGAAAGACTTGTGCTTTTTGGCTCTCCCGCTTGAGAGAGAGCTCAGCACGTGAAATGATAACATCAGGACTCAGTTTCTCATACCGTGCTCATTTCCAGTGAAAATTCTTTTTTTTTTTTTGAGAAAAAAAAGAGAAAGAAATCAAATCTGAACAGTCTGGATTTGTCTGATTCCCTTCGCCACTGGGTGCTTACCTGTGACTGCCATGGTCAGTCTGGAGCCAATCTCACACCATGGTGGCTGTTGCCAGCTGGAGGCTGTGGGTCCAAACTGACCTCAAGACCCATAGGAAGGGGAGGGTAAAGCAGTGCTGGTGTGTGGCCATATTCGTAGAATTGATATTTTCCTTAATCAGTGGATACGCAGACGATCAGTTGGGTATCAAATGTGATGGCTTGCAATTGTAGCAGCAACAATGACAATTAACATTTGGTTTTAATTATCATTTTAGGTGAAAAACCATATGAGTGTCCAAACTGCAAGAAACGTTTCTCCCATTCTGGCTCCTACAGTTCGCACATCAGCAGCAAGAAGTGTATCGGTTTAATCTCTGTAAATGGCAGAATGAGAAACAATATCAAGACGGGTTCTTCTCCTAATTCTGTATCTTCCTCTCCTACTAATTCAGCCATTACACAGCTGAGAAACAAGCTGGAGAATGGCAAACCACTTAGTATGTCTGAACAAACAGGCCTACTGAAAATTAAAACAGAACCACTAGATTTCAATGAATACAAGGTTCTTATGGCCTCACATGGGTTTAGTGCAACTAGTCCTTTTATGAATGGTGGACTTGGAGCAACCAGCCCCTTAGGAGTCCACGCTTCTGCTCAAAGTCCAATGCAGCACTTAGGTGTAGGGATGGAAGCACCGTTGCTTGGGTTTCCTGCAGTAGGCAGTAATTTAAGTGAGGTGCAGAAGGTCCTACAGATTGTGGACAACACGGTTTCCAGGCAGAAAATGGACTGCAAGGCTGAAGAGATCTCCAAGTTGAAGGTTTACCATATGAAGGATTCATGCTCTCAAGCTGAGGAACAAGGAGTCACCTCCCCCAATATTCCCCCCGTGGGTCTTCCAGTAGTAAGTCATAATGGTGCCACTAAAAGTATTATTGACTATACATTAGAGAAAGTCAATGAAGCCAAAGCTTGCCTCCAGAGCTTAACCACAGACTCGAGGAGGCAGCTCAATAACATTAAGAAAGAGAAGCTACGGACCCTAATAGACCTGGTAACTGAAGACAAGATGATAGAGAACCACAACGTATCCACTCCATTTTCATGCCAGTTCTGTAAAGAAAGCTTTCCTGGTCCCATTCCGTTGCATCAGCATGAGCGTTACCTGTGTAAAATGAACGAAGAAATCAAGGCAGTCCTTCAGCCTCACGAGAACATGGTTCCCAACAAACCTGGAGTGTTTGATAAGCAAACCCTCTTGCTGTCATCAGTACTTTCTGAGAAAGGAATGACTAGCCCCATCAACCCATACAAGGACCACATGTCTGTACTTAAAGCATATTATGCTATGAATATGGAACCCAACTCTGATGAACTACTGAAAATTTCCATTGCTGTTGGCCTGCCTCAGGAATTCGTGAAGGAATGGTTTGAACAAAGAAAAGTCTACCAGTATTCAAGTTCCAGGTCACCATCACTGGAAAGGGCCAGTGCCAAGGTGGCGCTGGCTGCCACCAACAACACTCCCACTAAAGACTCTTTGTCAGCCAGATCTCCAATAAAGCCTGTGGACTCTATAACTTCACCATCTATAGCTGAACTCCATAACAGTGTTACTAATTGTGATACTCCTCTCAGGCTAACAAAACCTCCTCATTTTACCAATATGAAACCAGTTGATAAATTGGACCACTCTAGGAGCAATACTCCTTCTCCTTTAAATCTTTCTTCCACATCTTCTAAAAACTCCCACAGTAGTTCTTACACTCCAAACAGTTTCTCTTCCGAGGAGCTTCAGGCTGAGCCTTTGGACTTGTCTTTACCAAAACAAATGAAGGAACCCAAAAGTATTATAGCCACAAAGAACAAAACAAAATCTAACAGTGTGAATTTAGAACACAACAGTGTTTCATCATCATCTGAAAACTCAGATGAGCCACTGAACTTGACTTTTATCAAGAAGGAATTTTCTAATTCAAATAATCTGGATAAAAGCACTAACCCAGTATTTGGTATGAACCCATTTAGTGCCAAACCTTTATACACAACACTTCCACCACAGAGCGCATTTCCCCCAGCCACTTTTATGCCACCAGTCCAGACCAGTATTCCTGGGCTGCGACCATACCCAGGACTAGATCAGATGAGCTTCCTACCACATATGGCCTATACCTACCCAACTGGAGCAGCTACTTTTGCTGATATGCAGCAAAGGAGAAAGTACCAGCGGAAACAAGGATTTCAGGTAAATTGTTGCAACCTTTTTCTGTTGAAAGGCTAGAATTTAGCATTTTGCGTTATGTTTGCCTGCAGAAGAACACAGCCCAAATTTATATTCAACATTTCCAACAAAATTAGTGTGGTTTATTTTAGTCTGAGCTTGCAAACATGCAGAGGGGTGGGAAAACAAACTGCAGTAACCTTAGGAGTACCTCTACTCGGATGTATCAATACCTTTGAATAGGCATAATGCTTGTGGCTTTTTTCTGTTAAGAACTCAGCTGTTCCTTAATTAGACTTGTATCTAAATAATAATAATGACCATGAAAAATCCTATCCTGCAGAAAAATAAAAATAAAAAAGAAATTTTG